TGGCTCAAAAGGAGATACTGGATTTCCAGGACTTCCAGGCCTACCAGGGCGTGCTGGACGTGATGGTGATGATGGCCTAAGAGGTACTGTTGTCAAACAAGCTCAAAGAGTGCAGCAGGTTATTTTAAGGAAAGGGAAGCCAAGTCAAACAATGCTCACTCAAAGCCTGAAACTTCTGTTTAAATCATTGTGAATCCAGTCTCCTTTCTTTTAGGAGATCGTGGCTCACCTGGAGTTCCTGGAGATCCAGGTTTTCCAGGGAAACCTGCTGAATGTCTTATTGGCCTGCCAGGTTTGCCAGGTGGCCAGGGAGCTACAGGCCCACCAGGTAGGACCTTCTGAATCAAATGTGCCATTTGGCTGGGTGGGTCTGGGTTTTCTTTCTGCCTTCCAATGGCCTGAGGGAGCTGAAGTTGGTTTTGGATATTGGTTATAGGATAGTATGTGAGAAAATGTGAGCCCATTTACAAGATACACTTTCTGCAGATGGGAGGAAACACATGCACTGACTAAGATGGATTAAGATTCAGCTTCCATTGTACAGTACAAAGAGTAATCACAAACTGACCCAAATTCTGCAGGAAACAGGATATTTCAGTCATGTCTCCTATATGGGGCTGAATTTAGATTCCTTGGTGCGATGCGATTGGTAAAGAAACAAAACAGAGGAAGAGCTCAGCTAGGTAGAAAACCAGTTTAGGGACTCAAAAGTACCTGCATATACCACGTATGATTTCCATTCCAAGAGAAATGCACTTGGGTACCCAGCACAGTCCTTCTCCTATATATGATCTCAAAAGGATTTTTTTTTTTTTTTTTTTTTTTGAATGAATGCAGAGTTGGTGGGTTTTTCATGTTTGGGTTTTTCTTCTTTTTCTCCAAAAGAACAGAATTGCCTACTCTTGCCTTTTTTTTTTTCCCCCCTTTAAAAAAAGCCAACAACGCAACTCTCTTAAGATTTCCTGAATGTGTATGTTGTCTTATAGATCAAATGTTTAGCCCTCAAACAGGCAGAGTTTAAGAAGAGTTTCATGCTCATGAAGGCAAGACAGAGGTGAAGGTTTATCTTCCAGATAGATGTACCATACTACACTGTCATGCATTTTTCTTAGGAGGAAGAGGTTCACAAGGTTCAAAAGGAAAACTAGGTCTTCCTGGCTTGAGTATCCCAGGAACCTATGGAAAGCCTGGGGAACCTGGATTAATAGGTCTTCAGGGAAATACAGGATTACCTGGTCCCAAGGGGCAGTCTGGAAGGCCAGGAATCTCTGGTGTGCCAGGTAAGGATTCCCCAAATACATGTTTTGACATAGAAATTAAGTCAGTCTCTGCAAAAAGGTGTCAGTCATGCTTTTCCAAATTGAAGATAGTGAAATATTTTTCCATCAACAGCTTTCATATGTCATTGAGATCTATATGGAAAACAAATACATCCTCATTCCCTCAATGATGAGCATATCTTGAAGCTGTCATGACATAGTACTCAATTTTCTGTAAGTGTCTTCTAAGGACAGAAGGCTGCCTTAACGTTGTTTTTTGTACAGTAATGTCCTTGCAGTATGACACGAACTAGTTAACATTCAAAGCAACTCCCCAGCATAATGGAAGTGTAAAGCGTTTAGTAGTTCTTACTCAGCATCCCTTTTCAAACAGCAAGTTTGCTTAAAAAAGCAAGGTCAGATCTTGAGTCTGACAGAGTCGAGTCAGATCAAACTCTGTCATGTTAACCAGAGCTACCTTTAAGTAAGGTAGGTAATCCCTGTAGTTTTTTTCAGCAATGTGTTGAAATTTGATTTGTAGAATGAAAGAAATCAGGTATGTAATGCTTGTTATCTCTAACAAAGATTTTTCATTACTATCAAATCCTACATTATTCTGTGGGAAGGAGATGGTACATACCTTTTTATATATACAACCTATAAAACTAATTATAAACACGCAGCGCTTGACTCAGTTGCGCAAACCTAGGTTTCTGATGTCACTTGAGGGGAGTTGTCATGTCCCAGCTGGCCTTCAACTTCTGAGCCAGAACATCCCATGACAGGTCTCTCATCCCTGTGTGGGTATCTCAGATACATTATCCACACTGCAGTTATTTCATTCATTGATAGAAGCTGTTGCAGCTACTAATCTAGGTAGTTTGGGGGGTACTGTGTGTGTAAGTGCTGTTCATGTGGTTAAAGACTGGAAAACTGGCTTTGACAGTATGTTATAGAAATGGAGAAAAAAATAAAATAACCAATTAAACACTTAAATGACAGACACGTGTGTAGTTTTCGGAAGTGATGTTCTATTTCACTGATGAAACGCTAACAAATATGTTCCTATTGCTTCAATTCCACAGGCTCAAGGGGAGAGCCAGGTATAATGGGCCTGCTAGGAATTCCTGGACCCCGTGGCATGATTGGAAGACCAGGCAACCCGGGTATCAGAGGCAAGTGGCCAGAGTATCTGCCTTCATTATTACTTAGAATATAGGAACTTCCATGCTGAAGTAGTCTTGTGATCCATCTTGTGATGTATGTTATCACTCCTGAGTACACGTGTCATACCTGAATTTCTTTGAGTCTTGGTAAATCTTTGACTTTTGTATATGTGCAGTCTACAGACTGAATGACAACTTTTTTTTTTTTTAGCAGCTTTGAATTGCCACCTTTTCTATTTCATTGGTATTTGTAAAAGTGGCTGGTGATTTGCTAAATAAAGAGCAGAGAGCTTTTTTGCTCTTTTTTTTTTCTATCCCATTCATGTTCCAAATATCATTATTATATCTATTCAGCAGATAAAAGATTATACATATATTCAGTATGAGAAATAGTTACCATCTCTTGCCATAATCTGTGCTCATAGATGCTTTATTGATAATTGGAGTAATTAAGAAGCTCATTTAGGTTGTTGGTTTGAAATGTATATTTACATATGTAGTTGCCCTTGAAGACAGGAGTTTCATTGCTTCCTTTATGCTATCGTCTAGTCAGGTTTCTTCAGAAAATTTCGTTGTATTTTCTTGCAGGTTCTTCTGGCTTCCCAGGACTAAAGGGAAGAAAAGGGTTTCTTGGAGCAAAAGGCGAACCAGGTGATAAAGGTTTTCCTGGACCATCTGAGACCTTGGTTGGTATTGGGACTAAAGGAGAACAAGGCTTAAAAGGTACACATTCATTGTTCTATCATTCAAAACTAATTAGCGTTGTTATCTGTGTTGCAGTTCCAGTGGATTCTAAAACATGGAAGAAACACACTCTACTACTGAGAGTATTCACATGGCTTTGAAATAATTATTGTGAACACTGTAACGGCCTTTTTATTTATGGGATAGTTGGATATTACATTGAATATTTATTTCCATTTTAACAAGTCCATATTCCTTAAAAAAACTCTTGCTGTAATGTTAAACCAGTATTAATATGTCAGTAGTATTAGGAGGCTTATATACATATATGCTGTACGTTCATGTTTTTATACATTTAGTAGCCCATGAGCACAGAAACAAGTGTGCTTACTAACTAGATGCTGGATTGCAAAGAAATTGAGTCTGCTCGGAAATACTTGTCTGTCAGAAGAATCCCTTTGTTTGCAATATTAATATAGACTCTCTGTATATGAGTTGTACATGCTTAACTAATGCTATCTGGCTTTTTGTGTAGACATTTTCCTATGGAAGCTTTCAGAAACTTCCTTTTGTCTCCATATGAGAAATACAGAAGGCATTAACTGTGAGCTTGTGTCTGGCTTGTGTGTGTCCACAGAGTGAAAATCCTATGCTCCACCTCTGCTTCATTAAGAGTTTTAAAACTTTAAACTTTACATAAAACTTATATTCTAAGATATTATTGTTTTGTAATATTGTTTTAATGAAACTTTGTTTTAGGAGTTCAAGGAGGAATGGGTCTACGAGGAGAAAAAGGAGATGCTGGTGTGCAAGGTCCCCCAGGTTCTGATGGGTCTGAAGGAATACCTGGTCTACCAGGTATGGAATATGTATATTGAAAATTACTGCATCATGTGAAGGGTAGAGATAATATTACCTCAATGCTAGCACATAAACTCGGCTCCAGCAGCAGCACTACATTCTCTGTATTAACTCTGAAGCTTTTCTGCGAATTCTGAAACTGAGCAATTTCAAACGCTGCTATTTGAAAATCATAGCAGCTACCACCAAATGATTCTTTGTTTCCTTCCAAATATAGACCATTGTTTGGGGTGATTAATAGAAAATAATATTAAATCATGAATAATAATAACTTTAAAATCTAAAAGCTGATGAGGCCAATTAATAGAAATCGGTATTTATAAAAGTGAAGAGAAGTTTGAATTCCCAATATTATGAAAAAAAAGTAAGAATTCTAAAATAGGAACATTCCAATTGTGCACAAAAATATTTCAGAAGCTTTTTTTTTTAATTTCAGATTGATTCTATTTCCCTTTTGAAACCCTGCATGTTTGGCTTATATTTTGAAAGTTACCAGGTCTTCATTGAAAAGCAGTCTTAAAAAGAACCTGCATAAATTACAAACCTACCTAAGCCATTTCACAAAGTTTTGCTCTGCCATTATCATAACATCATACATAATGATACATGTTGACCCTTGAGTGAGACAATGCATCTGTTTCTTCAAATTAATGCTAATAAAGTATCTTTACTTCTCTGTATTCTGTATTTTTGATTCTTTGAGATAACTTTTCTAGAAAACCATATGACACTATAATTAGATACATAAAAATGGTGACAGTTAGAAATAATTTTAAACTTGTAATCAAAATGGCTCTTCTCGTGATGGCAATTATCCATGCTATACGTCATTATAGCATCACTGCCATATTCTGTCATTAACATCCTTTGTAGTCATTGCAGTGTAGCCATCAGAGGAAAAACTGCAAATGCTCCACTACTCCCTAACTTTTTATAGAAGAAAATAAGACCTCACCTGCCTAAATGTTCAGGCATTGCTAGTACTCTGGCATTTAGATATCTGGACATTCTAGATGCAACTAGATCTTGTAGTCATTAAACTGAATGCTAATTTAGCTAAATTAAGCTAACGATAAGTGAGTGGGGGAAGAAGTGCTTAAGCTATATAAGAAAAAGTTCTTGAGTATACTAGTCATGAGAAGTGCGTAATGAGTAAGTAATAATGTGATTGTGATATCCCCAGAAACCAGACTGAACTCAGGGGGACAATGAAAGGAGAGTCCAGTGCGTAAATACAAATTCATGATCTTGATCAAGATTTGCAAAAGTATATTTCAGTTGCTGTCCCTAAGTGCCGTGGTCACAAACCTTAATTTTAATGTTGATACATAAGATTCTTGTTATTTCTTTGACCTTCTGACAACAATAATGATAATTTTATCTGTGTCTGGGGCAAGAGGAAGAATTATACTTTGGCTGCATGTTGATTTATAAAATTATAAGATACCATGACAAGTTGTGTGGTAGAGGATTCTGTATTCATGACAGCTCTACCAGCCAGCCAGTGTCTAAAGCAAACATGTGAAGATGACACTTTATTTCTTCATCTTGCAGGTGTCAAAGGATTTATGGGTCTTCCAGGGATTCCTGGAGGACAGGGATTCCCAGGTGCACCAGGAAACAAAGGGGACATGGGAATTCCAGGTCATTTTCCATCAAAGCCATATTACAAATTCATAGAGCTGTATAGAAGCATTTGCACAGATCTGAGCAGTTACTGTTTTTAGACTGGGATTTATTCTTTGCAGTACTTATCAACTTCTCACCACCCCAGCATTTGCTTGACTTGCAGAATGCAGTTCTCCCTCTCTCTAAATGAAATATAACTTCTTCAATTTATATATTGTTATGTAAGAACCTCTTCTTAATGTGTTCAGAAATAAAATCGCTGGCTGTGTAAATTGCTTTATCTTTAATAAAGAATGAATATCTGAATATACAAGCAGTAGTTCATAAAACACGAGGTGTGGTATGCAATTGTGATCCTTTTAAGAATGGTATCGGTATCTGTATTTTTCCAGGTCCAAAAGGACAGAAAGGATCTCCAGGCTTTCCAGGACCATCAGGTGATCCTGGTCCACCAGGCTATGGTGGCTTTCCAGGTGACAGAGGAGACCCTGGGTACCCATCTGCTGGGCCTCCAGGAGAACCTGGTCCAAAGGTATAAAGGCAATGGGAATTGTCATATTAGGCAATATCTTTGACTATAGAACAACATGTAACAGTTGCAGAGTTTTGCAGAAGTAGATGATTTGTTAATTATAAGAAATATGAAAATCCTATTGTATCATTACTCAGGAGAAATTTTTGAGTTCTGTTGAATGAATTAGATTTCATTTGTTTCTTGATGCAAGAATTTCTTATTTGTAAAGATGGAATATCTTGGAAATAACTTCGTTTTTGCAAAAGTTACTATTCCATTAAGAATAAGGTCTTGCAATTAAAAAGTCAACAGTAGGAATGCTTGTACATTAAAAAGTACAGAAAAACATAATCCTAGCAAATGTGAAAGTTTTGTAATCTGAAATTGTACTGTTGGGTTTTGGCAGTCTAGTAATATCCTTACACAACATGAATTGGGTTTTTTTCTTAGCAATGAAACTGAACATAGAATCATAGAATCATAAAATCATT